AAGATAAAAGCAGTTAAGACTAGCCCAAAGTTGGAGAAATGCTAACAGCAAGCACTCGCTCACAAGGCTAAGCAAAATACCGCAATTATGCCGCGAAAAAAAAACGAATTGAAAGTTATCTACCAGAGAGGCTTCAAACAAAATGCGCAGTTCCCCCTCCCCCTCCTCTTCCTTCTTTTTCCCCTCCTCCGTCCCATAGGCTAGACCCAGGCTTACATGAGGGCTAAATTTATTTACTTGATCAAGCGTAGGCAAGGGACATTGTCATAAAATTTCAGTCTTCTAGCTCTTGTGCTTCCCATGCTATTAATTTGGGCGCCGAAAATTCTACGTGGCTGAACATGAAACCTAGACACATGCGGACGCTGAGTTTGCGTTAACGCGGGTAAGTGGATTCCTCTTAAAGTTTCAGCTTCCTACGTTCTCTGGTTCCCGAGTTGAAATCCCCAGATAAAATACACTCGAAACACACACAAACGAAGTCTCGATGACGTAAGTTTTTTGCAACTGTTGGAGCATAAAACGCATAAAAGTGCTGCACTCATTGATCGATTCCTGAAAATGAGACTAAAAATAATGTCTCTGGAGCCCCTATTTAAAAGTGATTCAGGATGAGGACACCCCAGCCGAGAAGTTGCGCTACCTCATCAGCCGACCGCTCAACGGATATGTTGCTCATACAAAGCATGCGGCCAAGGCTATCACAAATTTTTCGCAAGCCGAAATTTCTAAATCGGAAATAATTTTCGTGAAAAACGAAGGTTTCTACTTCATTTTGATTAAAAATATACATTTTCATACTGCCTTGGTAAAATGGTGTTTAAGGACAGCACCTACTGCACTTATTCTCCCTACCTTTGGGCAGTCCATAAGCTGGTGAGTTTTGTTTTGCCTAGAATTATCCAAAAAATAAAAATCCTAGCACCAAAAGATGTTATTGCCCTAGCTTTCAAGATTTATATTAGTATTGTTCAAGAAACCGTGCTGCCTTGATTTTTATGCGTTTTTGCATATATGTAAATTGCAAAGACGCATATTGGGAAGAGACTGTGTGTGTGTGTGTCTGTGTGTTCGCACTTTTTGTCACCCACTTTCAACTCGAGACCCAGAAAA